CCCCCGCCGATGATTGGTGGGGGTATGACATTTTCGGAACGCCGTACCCCCTCTGGTTGTCGGCGGGGAAGGGATCGGGGGTACGGCGTTCCAATAACGCCGTACCCCCGCTCCCTCCCCCGCCGACAACCGGAGGGGGGGGGTACGGCGTTCTCGAAACGCCGTACCCCCGCTCCTTTCGCTTCCCGGGAACCGGAGGGGGCCCGGAGGATCGAGAACGCCGTACCCCCTCTGGTTCGCGGTGGGGGGGAGGGAGTGGGGCTGCGGCGTTATCGTAACATAGCCGTACCCCATAGGCCCTGTATGTGGACAGAGCCGAAGGGGTACGGCGTTCTGAAAACGCCGTACCCCTGCTGGTTCGCGGTGGGGGGGAAAGGGAGCGGGGGTACGATGTTCTTGAAACGCTGTACCCCCGCTTGTTTCGCCTCGAGGCAATCGGAGGGGTTCCGGCGTCTTCAAAATGTGATGCGATAGTGAAAGGTTTGATATCTGAAAGCGATCCGTTCTTCTGTTCGGAATGTGCCAACCATCTGGAGGAGCATCTGCTGTCCCGGAAAAGAGAGTGTATAAGACCTGCTCAATGTATAGAGATAGGGAGTGGGCCCTTGATTGGGTGGGGGGCCTACACGAGGCGGGATGTGGGGCCGCTGTGTTTTTGAAGACCTCCACGAGCAACAACTGGTTCTGTGTTGGAGGGATTATTAAATCCGAGGATGAGAGGGCGGACGGGCATATACGAAAGTTCAAGAGGTTTTTCCTCACAACGGTGTTTGACGAACAGGGAGTGGACCATGCGAAGTACGACCATAAAGTCAGCCTTGATTACAATTTGTTCAAGGGGTATGGAGGTAAGGCAATTACAATGAAAGCCTTCGATGTCTCCCTGAAAGAAGACGGGAGTGTGTTGACGATGCTTGACCTTGTGAAATTTCTCGCCAAAACGAACGGGTATAGGAGATCCGGAAACAGTCCCACGGTACAGGTCGGGCATCGTATGTCTTCGACACTCGTACCTTTTGACATGCCGGACGAGGATCTCCCCGACATAGCAAAAAGCGAGACAGAGGACGCCACATTGTTTTCCAATGCAGTAGACGTCAACGGGTGGAAGTAGGCGCCGCAACAAACGGACCCAGCCGCGTTATCAGCCTGATGAAGGGGCTCGTGGTCCTCATGTGGAATCTACCCACCGGAGGGAATGTGCAGGACCGTCTCAGCCGTCCACCCGGCAAGACGAAGGCACCCCTATCATTACATACAAAAAAAAGGGCTTGACAACTGGTCCATCTGCTGCCCGCCAGAAGGACTATGATGGTGCGTCCGGGAGGGCGGCCCTGCGGAAGGTAAGCGAAGGATCGGACGAGGAAACGGAGGATGATCCTCGGATTTGTGTTGATCGGCATCCGCAGGGTAATCATGCCGTGGACGATGAGGAATTTGGGGTCGAAAAGGACGATGTGGAAGAGGAGAAAAGGGAGAGAGAGAGGGAGGGAGAGGATCGTGAGGAATCTATGCAGGACTGCGAGGACGGGGAGTCTCGACAGTACGACGAGGGGGACTATGGGGGCGATGGAGAAAACGATGATGCCTATCCTGGCGATGACGAGGATGGAGGGCAAGAAGGGTCGACTGATGTGGAGGTCGATGAGGGAACAGAAGATCGGTCGGGGGGCAGTGTGCACAAAAGGAACCGGCGATCTTCAATAAGTCCAACGGCGACGACGGATAAACGCGCTGCGAAGAGACTCACTGTCGCTGCATCTCGAGATGCACTTAGAGCTTCTCAAGAGGCGGTCGCTGAAAACGTGAAGAACCGCAAAGGAAAGGCATCAACCAGGACGACAAAAGCGGAGAAACGTCCACTGAAAAGAAAGCACATGATCGATGAGGGTGACTCCGGAGAGGACGCCGAAGGGGTTGCTCCAAGGGCTCCATCGGAACAGAGACAACCTTCCGCCGACACCCGTTATGACGCCATCGACACAACACGCTGCTTCTTCGTGGAGTTCGATGAGGATGGATTTGCGAATTAGAATCGGGAACACATTCAAGTGGATGTAACGAAGATCTTGCCAATTCCTGAAGGTGACATCCTCTTCAACCATAGGACATTGGACAAAACGTTAGTGCAGTCCATATATGATGTGATCCATGATGCGGCTAAGAAAACCAACGGGAAGTGGGATATCATGACTTTTATCCTGGCTCCCATTGTACCGAACGGGGACGGCTCTCAAGGCAGACGGATCACACCGAAGGAATTCGACGTCGCACTGGCTCATACATACCACTGGTATGCTGTTGCTGGTCAGCACACGGCTGAGGCAATGAACAGACTCATTAAGGACAAGTCACCGGCCGAGAAAGTGTACGGCTTGAGGTCGTACTCTCACGTACGCGTTGTCTACTTTGACGACGACAAAAAGAGAGGATATCCGTACGTCTCGACATTCCACAACACAAGGGAGGAGCGTTCCATCCCAAGATCGTTTTCATCGTCTGTGCGGCAAATCAGAAGATTTTGGGATAAGAGGAATGACCGGATCCGTCCTCCGGGCACCGTGTCCCCGAATGACGCCGAGGGAATGGAACGGAAAAAGAAGTGGGAGGCGTTCATGAACGCCGCCTGCAAAATAACACCTGATTCCGGTCTCATGAACTCGTCCCTGGAGAACAACTACTGCAAGGATTGGACGAACAAGATGCGCAGATGCATGAATCTTGCGCAGTGCGGCGAGACGGTATGGCCACTGGTAGACAAATTCTTTGGCATGTACGAGAAAGGACTATTCCCAAGAATCGACGGTGTGAGATACGTCGATCTGCCGGGGAAAGTGGAAGGGAGGCTGCCTGGGCAATACTTGCTCAAGGACAACTCCGACAAAAAAGTCCTATACCACTGCATCAAGGCCAGAAAGGAACCGCAAGGCGCAACGGTGTCTATACTGGACTTGACGCCCTCAATCTTTAAACTGTTTGGCGATATGACAGTGAGAGAGAAGCAAGTGGCGCTGCACCACATGATGCGTGGTGATGTCATCGTGACATCACGTACGGTACCTCGTGGTAGATGCAACATGGCAAACTTGGTAAAATATACTCGGCGTGAGAGATATATGGTCCGTATGTTCAACTACATATTGTTCAAGGTCGAGGGGAGGTCAAAGGAAGTGTGGAACGCTGACTTCTTCATCGGTTATACGACCATCTTGGAAAGGTTCAGCAAAAACGGCCTCACTGACGAGAAATGGACAGAGGAACGCGACCACATCCCTGACAACAAGGCCAGGAAGGTGCCGAGGCGTTTGTGCGGTCCTGATGAGATTCATGATGGGAACGGTGCGGGGCTGGAGGCAACCCAGGCCATGTACAAGGAAGCCCCGTTCCACCTCAAGTGTTTCATCTACGAGGCGATCGACTGCTTGGACGACTTGAGRGSGGRGGSGSKSGGGCCGGGCATTGAAAAGGRGGRGGGGGGGGGGGGGGGGGAATAGGGTACGGCCTTCCGAGAACGTCGTACCCCCACCGGTTATCGGCAGGGGRGGGAGTGGGGATTATCGGAACGCCATACCCCCGCTCCCTCCTCCGCCGATAACTGGTGGGGGTACGGCGTTTTCAGAATGACGTACCCCCTCTGGTTGTCGGCGAGGGAGGGAGCGGGGGTACGGCGTTCTCGGAACGCCGTAACCCCTCTCCCTCCCCCGCCGATGATTGGTGGGGGTACGGCGTTTTTGGAACGCCGTACCCCCTCTGGTTGTCGGGGGGGAAGGGAGCGGGGGTACGGCGTTCTGATAACGCCGTACCCCCGTACCCCCGCTCCCTCCCCCGTCGACAACCGGAGGGGGGGGGTACGACGTTCTCGAAACGCCGTACCCCCGCTCCTTTCGCTTCGCGGGAACCGGAGGGGGTCCGGAGGTTCGAGAACGCCGTACCCCCTCCGGTTCGCGGTGGGGGGGAGGGAGCGGGGGTGCGGCGTTATCGTAACATAATCGTACCTCATAGGCCGTGTATGTGGACAGAGCCAAAGGGGTACGGCATTCTGAAAACGCCGTACCGTTGCCGGTTCGCGGTGGGGGGGGAAGGGAGCGGGGGTGCGATGTTCTCGAAACGCCGTACCCCCGCTCGTTTCGCCTCGAGGCAATCGGAGGGGTTGCGGCGTCTTCAAAACGTGATGCGATAGTGAAAGGTTTTATATCTGAAAGCGATCCGTTCTTCTGTTCGGAATGTGCCAACCATCAAGAGGAGCATCTGCTGTCCCGAAAAAGAGAGTGTATAAGACCTGCTCAATGTATAGAGATAGGGAGTGGGCCCTTGATAGGGTGGGGGGCCTACACGAGGCGGGATGTGGGGCCGGTGTGTTTCTGAAGACCGCCACAAGCGACGACTGGTTCTGTGTTGGAGGGATTATTAAATCCGAGGATGAGAGGGCGGACGGGCATATACAGAAGTTCAAGAGGTTTTTCCTCACAACGGTGTACGACGAATAGGGAGTGGACCATGCGAAGGTCGGCCATAAAGTCAGCCTTGATTACAATTTGTTCAAGGGGTATGGAGGTAAGGCGATTACCATGAAAGCCTTCGATGTCTCCCCGAAAGAAGACGAGAGTGTGTTGACGATTACCATGAAAGCCTTCGATGTGAAATTTCTCGCCAAAACGAATGGGTACAGGAGATCCGGAAACAGTCCCACGGTAAAGGTCGGGCATCGTATGTCTTCGACACTCATGCCTTTTGACACACCGGACGAGGATCTCCCCGACATAGCAAAGAGAGAGAGACAGAGGATGCCACATTATTTTCCAACGCAGCAGACATCAACGGGTGGAAGCCGGCGCCGCAACAAACGGACCGAGCCACGTCATCAGCCTGACGAAGGGGCTCGTGGTCCTCTTGTGGAATCTACCCACCGGACGGAATGTGCAGGACCGTCTCAGCCGTCCACCCGGCAAGACGAAGGCACCCCTGTCATTACATACAGAAGGAAGGGCTTGACAACCGGTTTGTCTGCTGCCCGCCAGAAGAACTATGGTGGTGCGTCCGGGAGGGCGGCCCTGCGGGAGGTAAGTGAAGGATCGGACGAGGAAACGGAGTATGATCCTCGGATTCGTGTTGATCGGCATCCGCAGGGTGATCATGCCTTGGACGATGAGGAATTTGGGGTCGAAGAGGACAATGTCGAAGAGGAGAAAAGGGAGAGAGAGAGAGAGGGAGAGGATCGTGAGGATTCTATGCAGGACTGCGAGGACGGGGAGTCTCGACAGTACGACGAGGGGGACTGTGGGGCGATGGAGAAAACGATGATGCCTATCCTGGCGATGACGAGGATGAAGGGCAAAAAGGGTCGGCTGATGTGGAGGTCGATGAGGGAACTGGAGATCGGTCGGAGGGAAGTGTGCACAAAAGGAAGCGGCGATCTTCAATAAGTCCAACGGCGACGATGGATAAACATGCTGCGAAGAGACTCACTGTCGCTGCATCTCGAGATGCACTCCGAGCTTCTCAAGAGGCGGTCGCTGAAAATGTGAAGAACCGCAAAGGGAAGGCTTCAACCAAGACAACAAAGGCGGAGAAACGTCCACTAAAAAGAAAGCAGATAATCGATGAGGGTGACTCCGGAGAGAATGCCAAAGGGGTTGCTCCAAGGGCTCCATCGGAACAGACACAACCTTCCGCCGACACCCGTTATGACGCGATCGACACAACACGCTGCTTCTTCGTGGAGTTCGAAGAGGATGTGTTTGCGAAGAAGAATGGGGAACACATTCAAGTGGATGTAACGAAGATCTTGCCAATTCCTGAAAGTGACATCCTCTTCAACCATAGAACATTGGACAAAACGTTGGTGCAGTCCATATATGATGTGATCCATGATGCGACTAAGAAAACCAACGGGAAGTGGGATATCATGACTTTCATCCAGGCTCCCATTGTACCGAATCTCAAGGCAGACGGATCACACCGAAGGAATTCGACGTCCCACTAGCTCATACATACCACAGGTATGCTGTTGCTGGCCAGCACACGGCTGAGGTAATGAACGGACTCATTCAGGACAAGTCACCGACCGAGAAAGTGTACGGCTTGAGGTCGTACTCTCACGTACGCGTTGTCTACTTTGACGACGACAAAAAGAGAGGATATTCGTACGTCTCGACATTCCACAACACGAGGGAGGAGCGTTCCATCCCGAGATCGTTTTCGTCGTCTGTGCGGCAAATCAGAAGATTTTGGGATAAGAGGAATGACCGGATCCATCCTCCGGGCACCGTGTCCCCGAATGACGCCGAGGGAATGGAAAAGAAAAAGAAGTGGGAAGCGTTCATGAACGCCGCCTGCAAAATGACACCTGATTCCGGTCTCATGAACTCGTCCCTGGAGAACGACTACTGCAAGGATTGGACGAACAAGATGCGAGGATGCATGAATCTTGCGCAGTGCAGCGAGACGGTATGGCCACTGGTAGACAAATTCTTTGGCATGTACGAGAAAGGACTAATGCCAAGAATCGACGGTGTGAGATACGTCGATCTGCCGGGAAAAGTGGAAGGGAGGCTGCCTGGGTAATACTTTCTCAAGGACAACTCCGACAAAAGAGTCTTGTACCATTGCATCAAGGCCAGAAAGGGGCCGCAAGGCGCAACGGTATCTATACTGGACTTGACGCCCTCAATCTTTAAGTTGTTTGGCGATATGACAGCGAGAGAGAAGCAAGTGGCGCTGCACCACATGATGCGTGGTGATGTCATCGTGACCTCACGTACCGTACCTCGTGATAGATGCAACATGGCGGACTTGGTAAAATATACTCGGCGTGAGGGATATACGGTCCGTATGTTCAACTACATATTGTTCAAGGTCGAGGGGAGGTCAAAGGAAGTGTGGAACACTGACTTCTTCATAGGTTATACGACCATCTTGGAAAGGTACAGCAAAAACGGCCTCACTCACTAGAAATGGACCGAGGAACGCGACCACATTCCTGACGACAAGGCGAGGAAGGTGCCGAGGCGTTTGGGCGGTCGTGATGAGATTCATGGCGGGAACAGTGCGGGGCTGGAGGCAACCCAAGCCATGTACAAGGAAGCCCCGTTCCACCTCAAGTGTTTCATCTACGAGGCGATCGATTGCATGGACGACTTGAGAGCGGAGGTTAAACGGATATCCTCCAATGCTCGTCACATCTCTTGGGAAGTGGGGAAAAGGATTACCACGATCCTGTCATATGAAATCGAACTGAAGGGAGTGCTCACCGGCAACGAGGAGGTTGTTGGTACAGCGAGGGGAATGAAGATACAGGCAATCATTCTCGATATATCAACATCACAAAAATGTGTTCTGTGGGATGATGACGCATTCTCCGAACTGCACGCTTTCCTCACGACATGATGGGGACATATACTATAAGCTCGGTAGAAAGAGGGAGAAAGTGTGGGCTTACTTGTTCGGCGACGCTCCACAGTCGGCGGTTGATAACGACTACGTCATCAGAAAAAGCGAACTCAAGATAGCAATGAACGAGTACCACGGCTCGCACATGGGTGATTTCCACATGTTTGTCGCACGTTGTGAGCATCTGTATTTCAATATGAAGAAAAGAGCACTATCAGGTCGGGACTATGCAGACTTGGCACATAAAGCCAACAACTTCAACAACATCGATTGCGACGAAGACACTCCAGACTCCGACCTGGACGTCCCGTCGCGCGCGGCACCAGGTGCGGCGGAGGGAGCGCGTGGTGAGGAGCCGCAAGGGAGCACCAACGGACCTGCAGAGAAGGCGAGTTCGAGTGTGGGAGCAACACGTGCGATTGAGGGAAATGTGGAAACAAGAATGAATGGAAGGGGAGAAAGGAATGGTGTAGCAACAAACTCGGTGGGTGCGAGTGAGAGGATAGTTAACTCACAGGGCAACACAGGGGGAGGAGAGAATGGGTGTGCAATGGCCCCGCCGACAGCTGGGCCATCATCGACACATGCACCGCAGGCCGAGCAATGAACACTCACGTCCATGGACACCGATGAAGACGAAGAATTGGATATGACACCACTCACGCCGAAGCTCGTGCCAGGAAGACCGTTGCCTCAAGGCTTTGCCCCAGACCCTTCAGTGCCATACTTGCTGCAGGACAAGTACAAAGAGTCATCGGAGGAGGATTGGGGTCATCATATTCTCTGGCATGAGGGTGTGTTCGAACCGTATGTGTTTGCAGGCCAGTGGCAGATGGCTGTGAAGACAAGAGACCGAGGGTGGGTCGCGAAGGAAAAAAAGGCAAGGACGCTGCGTCAGCTGCCATATGGCACAGCGTGACGAAAACGCAAATTTATCGGCGAGTTTTGAAAGAAAACGCCGGTGCAAGTGAGGAAGCTATAGCGGCAAAGATGAAAACTTTGTTCGAGCATCTGCGTGCGAACAAAAAGCTAGAATTCAACACAAAGTTCTACGACTTTGCATGAAGTGTATCGTACGGCTCCATCAATTGGAAAATCGAACTGCCTTCAGCAGTACAAGGAATCGATAGCATCAACTCTCTGAAGACTCAGGACATTATCGCATCTAACACCATCATTGCGATTGCCAGAGGGGATCCAGCCTACGAAACGGACACACGTGCGAACACAGGTCACGTGCAGGATGAACAGCATCGAGCATGTGCTTAACAAAGCACTCTGAGAACGCAATGGGGGATTCCACAATGATACGCAAGGACGGCGACGACATGGAGTCCGACGCATTGACAGAGCAGCCAATAGGGGGGGTCAACGATGGGACAACAAACGTTGGATCTTTCGGATCTCTTGTAGTCACAATGGCGGCGAGGCAAGGCGTATCTGGGATGATGGAAACCGATGCTGGCCAGGATGATGAAAGTCAGGCGATGAAGGTGCCACAAGAGGAGGTGGCAGCAACAACAGAGCAGGCACTGAAAGGTGAGGGATCCCGCGAACACATTTTCATAATAGATATGGCATCGGAGAGTACGGGCGATGCTATGATCCAAGAGAAGGAACAGAAAGATGACAACAATGCGCCAAGAGTTGAAGGTGACCACGAAAAGGACGTGCAACAACTGAGACGGTCGACGAGGCCTGTGATTAAGAAAGTTGTGGTGGATGCGTAGACATTGCTTAGATCGTCATGGACGTTTACACGGTTCAGGTTATATAGATGTGTGGCCGCACCTCGGTAGGTTTGAAAACTATGTGAGACAGGAATGGGTGTCTACACGTTATAGGTTATACTCTTGTGTTATTGGAAGTGTTATTGTGACAGTGCAGATTTCGAAATTGCACTACCGATCATAGAGGGTGGCCCATATCGATAAGTAGATGTGTGTGTGTGTGTGTGTGTGTGTGTGTGTGTGTGTGTGTGTGTGTGTGTGTGTGTGTGTGTGTGTGTGTGTGTGTGTGTGTGTGTGTG